GTTGTGACACGACTGCCAAGGTCCTACGGCATGGAGTGTCAGTGACATCACTGCCAACGTCCCACGGCCGGCAGTGTCGGTGACGTGACTGCCAACGTCCCACGGCAGGCAGTGTCAGTGACATGACTGCCAACGTCTCACGGCCGGCAGTGTCAGTGACATGACTGCCAACGTCTCACGGCCGGCAGTGTCAGTGAAATGACTGCCAACGTCCCATGGCAGGCAGTGTCAGTGACAAGATTGCCAAGGTCCCACGGCAGGCAGTGACATGACTGCCAACGTCCCACAGAAGGCAGTGACATGACTGCCAAGGTCCCACGGCAGGCAGTGTCATGACTGCCAACGTCCCACGGCAGGCAGTGACATGACTGCCAAGGTCCCACGGCAGGCAGTGACATGACTGCCAACGTCCCACGGCAGGCAGTGACATGACTGCCAACGTCCCACGGCAGGCAGTGACATGACTGCCAACGTCCCACGGCTGGCAGTGACATTACTGCCAACGTCCCACGGCAGGCAGTGACATGACTGCCAACGTCCCATGGCAGGCAGTGTCAATAACATGACTGCCAACGTCATACGGCAGGCAGTGTCAGTGACATGACTGCCAACGTCCCACGGCAGGCAGTGACATGACTGCCAACGTCCCACGGCAGGCAGTGACATGACTGCCAACGTCCCACGGCAGGCAGTGTCAGTGACATGACTGCCAACGTCCCACGGCAGGCAGTGTCAGTGACATGACTGCCAAGGTCCCACAGCAGACAGTTTCAGTGACATGACGGCCAACGTCCCACGGCAGGCAGTGACATGACTGCCAACGTCCCATGGCAGGCAGTGTCAGTGACATGACTGCCAACGTCCCACTGCAGGCAGTGACATGACTGCCAACGTCCCACTGCAGGCAGTGACATAACTGCCAACGTCCCACGACAGGCAGTGTCAGTGACATGACTGCCAACGTCCCACGGCAGGCAGTGACATGACTGCCAACGTCCCACGGCAGGCAGTGACATGACTGCCAACGTCCCACGGCAGGCAGTAACATGACTGCCAACGTCCCACGACAGGCAGTGTCAGTGACATGACCGCCAACGTCCCACGGCAGGCAGTGTCAGTGACATGACCGCCAACGTCCCACGGCAGGCAGTGTCAGAAGAAGATTGCCATCCTTAAGATGTTAATCCTGCTGATTGCAAATCTGGAAAGGGTGGGGGAGGTCAAGGGGAGAAGACTTTAGAAAAAGGTCACATTTATGATTAGATGGTCTATGTTGTCACAGTCACCAATCTCGTCTTGTCCCTGCTCGAGAACATCCGGTAATACGTGCAGCAGGGAAACCAGCCTTGAGGTTCATGAAATCAGGTGGGCCCATTCTCTGAAAATGTCTTGGAGCTTGTGGGCCGAAACATTTGTCGACGAGAGATTACTTCTACTGACGATTGGTGCCCGGCTCTGTAGCGTAGTTGGCTAAACCGCGGTGAGCGGGTGACGAACTCCTTGTGGTCCGGGTTCACTACCGGGGGTAGGCAGAAAAGCCACATTTTCTCCCAGATTTACGGTATTTACAATGGAATCAAGGCCGAAAGGTTGCGATATCCATAATACCGAGCCTAAGGGTTAACAACTCATATCTTCTGGATACTAAAACAAACAACAAACAAACTAATGATTGGTAAACTCCTGCTGTACATGCTTCCCTCTGGAGTTTCTTCTTATTGTCAAAAAGCATGAATCTGTGATTGAACTTAGTGTTTGTAGACTGTAACAGTTTCGAATAAGAACGGAGAGGGCTCACTGATAGCCATTTCCTGTGTAGTGCAAATTCGATGGTCTACTTCAATAGAAGGATTACAGTGAGCCTGTACTGGCGGTTCGCAACCTCTGTTCCAGCTAGGTAGCACGTGACTCTATAGCCGCCGTGTGCCCTGGTATAACTTGTATACTGTAGAACGGGATTTCGGCCATTTGTGTTGGCTTCCTACTGAATGTTAATTGTTTAGGGTAACCCCCCCCCCCATGGGGGCAAGGGGGGGGGGGGGCGGCGTTTATTTTAGTTTCTTTTCCACCTGTGACTGCAGATGACGTCTAGCAGCCGTGTCTGTCACGGGTGCCACAATTGTAACCTGTCAGGAGCTTGAACAAGCTGTCTTTGACTTTGCACTTCTTGCTTGCCGTCCTGGTTGAGATTGTTTTATCTTATGGTGGTCACACCCCGAGGCAGCAGCTGGGAGCGGTGAGAACCAGAAAGGAAGGCGACTTCTTACCGTCGAGTGCCCACTACAGTCGAGTGTCCCCTAACATCGAAGCCCTTCCCCCCCCCCCCCCCCCATACTGTTGATCTGGCTGTCTGGGATTTGCTGTTGTTGGAATTTCAGACTAGAGTCAAGTGTTCATGTTTCAGGTGCAACCCTAGAGGTTGTCCACCCACTGATTAGCTCCCCACTGCTCTGACATATGCGCCAGCAGTATGGTCGATACATAGTAATTTGTACAGCGAGAAGTTGACACTAAACCTAAACCTCTGGTATTATATTGCGTCTATAACATAAGTATGTCTCTCATGGATATGGGCGCGTGAGTGTGTGCATTCACGTGCAGTGCAATATTGTTGGAGCAAGAAGTTATGACTTACCATCTAGTCGTGTCACCATGACGTCACCACACTCACTGGTCGTGTCACTATGACGTCACCACACTCACCTCGAAGGTTCAAACTCAGCTTGAGACCTTTAAGACTACTACTACTTGCTGTCAGAAAGGTGAGGTGATGACTTTCTCGTGTGTCACGTCTCAGACAGGTGAGGACTTGTCTCTTGTGTCACGTCTCAGACAAGTGATGACTTGTCTCATGTGTCACGTCTCAGACAGATCATGACTTGTCTTGTGTGTCACGTCTCAGACGTTAAACCTATAACGACTTGCAGTCTTGTGTAACTAGCATTTCTCTACAGGCAAAGGATATGATGACGACCGCCATTCACCCATTTATGACTGTTCTAAATTCCAAGATAGATAACAACCGAATCTTAGTTTTTCAGGAGAGTGCTCACATGTTAGAAACTATACGCACCTGTAGGAAAGTACTCACGCTGTGCGGTAAAGTACCACGTAATCTGTGACTGTCTTGCAGCTACTATATGTAGGATTACGCTCTCAAGGATGACATTCAGAGAGGTGCAAATTCTCACTAACTGTACGACAGTGTTACTGGGGCTCCACGAAACGGTTACATAATAGCCCCTAGTCCAGTGTGTGTGTGTGTGTGTGTGTGTGTGTGTGTGCGTTCTTGTGTGCACATATAGGAAATTTGTTTTTAATTCATTGATCGCGCAGATTCTGTGATATCCAAAGAGGAGTAACAATCATTTGAAATAACAGTCTGTGTCTTACGTTATTTTCTTCCCGAATGCAGACAGCTAGGTTGGTTTACATCCCTTTGACTCATCTTTAATGTATAATATCGGCGGTTTGATGGAACTAAGAGTCATCACAATCCAGCATACAGACATTATTAAAAGCGTGTGACGGAAGGGGATAATTTTCCCAGTCAGTTTGCAGGATAGGCAGGTTTACTGTTTTCAGTCATGGCTGTTGTTTGCTTCGGACAAAAGTTAGCTGTTGCATTTTCCTTGAAGTGCGTGACGCGACACTGTGAGCTGCCGATTTAATTTGGAATGCTTTTCGACTCATTGCACGTGGTTTGGGTTAAGACCTTCAGATTCAGGAAGCTGGCTTGTTGTCAGAGAATTTGTAGTCCTTATGCGACTAAGTGCGTGTGCAGCTACAGATCTGATGTGACTACTACTGTGCTTCGGCTATGAACTGCATTTCTAATGTCGACTGTTTGTGCTGGCATTTTTAACTGCTGCATTTAATATGTGCGCAATCTTTTGGATTTGCTAGGACAGCAGTGTGAGTCAAGGGATGGACATTATGTGTGGTTTGCTAGGACAGCAGTGTGAGTCAAGGGATGGACATTATGTGTGGTTTTCGTAAGCACAGGAACGGGGCTACTGTGGCCTGGCTCGACTGTTATGAAGTTGGAACTTTGATCACCTGATTAACCGTAGCACAAACGGAAGCTAATCATGACCACAGCACACTCAACAAGTAAGGGAATTGAGGTCGGTAGGGTCAAGCGTCTCGGGGGGTCTCTGGCGTCGAGGGGTCTCGGGGGTCTCGGGCGTCGTGGGGGTCGAGGGCTTCATGGGGGTCTCGGGGGTCTCGGGGGTCTCGGGCGTCAAGGGGATTTCGGGCGTCTCGGGGGTCGAGGGCGTCGCGGGGATCTCAGGCGTCTCGGGGGTCGAGGGCGTCGCGGGGGTCGAGGGCGTCGCGGGGGTCGAGGGCGTCGCGGGGGTCGAAGGTGTCTCGGGCGTCGAAGGGGTCTCGGGCGTCAAGGGGGTCTCGGACGTGTGCCCGAAAGCTGTGCAGGTCCTGTGCTTGTGGCATGTTTGTGTGGCAGACCCCGAGTGGTGTCGGCTCTGACTTTGTACTAGTGAGACGGTCTCAGCGATTTGGGAGGCGGTGTCGATCACTTGAGCTGTAGCTGTCTAGAGCAGACTTCGTTCTTGTGTGATTTAGGTCAACATGTCTCAGAAATAATGAATGTGTGAATTACCGAATATTTCAGTGAATATACGGGGCCGCGTCAGCGCAGTCGAAGGAGACTCGCTTTTAAATCCAGCTGCGATTTGCTGCAGAACAGGGCCGGTGTTCGAAACTGGTCGGTTCCCGGGTTTCACCCAGCCTCTAGGAAATGGTTACCTGAGTTAACACTCTGGGGTAACTGGAGGAACGTTGCTGTAGCTACGGAGTTGCGTGCGGATGACGACACAGGCGGACAGTTTCTTTTCAGCTGTCCGTACTGGTGGTAGAGCACTTATGTTTTATAACCGTGTGCAGTGACGCTGGTTCACATGTCCCGACTTTACCTTTACTTGAGTGAATAATGAATGAACTAATGAATTGATCATGTCTGATGTATTTGTCCTTTTCAGCCTTCACGGAGCCAGCCATCTATTGGGGTCAAGATGGCGCCTAAGTTACGGGTAAGAGAAATTGTCTATTGTCATACTGTTGCATTCATTCATGCTTTCATCTTTCTGTATATTCATTCATTCACTCATCTATATATTCACTCATTATTCATACATCGCCCGATTGTGCATTTGAGACGTTCAAGCGTCACGGGGAAAAGTGGGGGGGGGGGGGGGGGAATCCCATTACTTTTCCCCGTATCTTGTTCGACCTTGTTGTTATAGTTTGTATATGGAACTCACTACGACTCGCTCATCAATATTTGTACCTGACTTGGACGTGTCCTTACCTCGCTCCATGTGTTTCCCAGTGTAGTACATGTCTGATGATTTTGTGTCTACCTCCCTCAATGTGTGCCTTAGATAGCCCCATCTTCTTTGTCTTATGACTGTTAATATCAACGGTTTTCCAGACATTTCTCTGATTGTTTCACCTTTTTAAGAAACTATCCCGATCTATTTTCACCTATTTCCTTAACAGTTTTTTTTTCCCCGAGTGCATTTGACTTTTGTTCCGTGTCCTCGGTGGTTCTCCATACTTTTACTGGAATGTGTTAGAATCTAAATAACATTAGAAATAAAAATAGATAATCTAGTTTTAAAAGTATATTTTTTATAAGTCCAATTTCCGTCCAAGGTTGTTTAAAGCTAATCCGTGTCTGTCATCGTTTCTTTCCTGTTATTTACCTTAATAACCAAAATGACTCTCTAAACAAGATGGCCATATATGGTGAAACGGTCTGTATGTTAGCTTGTGTGTTTAGAAAACTACTAGACCGTCGCAGATTTGGGTTTTGGAGAAGTATGTTTTATGTTTGTATGTGAATGTGTTATGTGTGTATGTGAATGTTTTATGTGTGTATGTGAATGTTTTATGTGTGTATGTGAATGTTGTATGTGTGAATGTGAATGTTTTATGTGTGTATGTGTATGTTCTATGTGTGTATGTGTATGTTTTATGCATTTATGTGTATGTTTTATGTGTATGTTTTATGTGTATGTTTTATGTGCATGTTTTATGTGTGTTTGTATGTTTTATGCATGCATATGTATGTTTTATGTGTGCATGTGTATGTTGTAAGCATGTATGTGTATGTTTTATGCATGTATGTGTGTTTTATGTGTGCATGTGTATGTTTTAACCATGTATGTGTATGTTTTATGCATGTATGTGTATGTTTTATGTGTGCATGTGTATGTTTTAAGCATGTATGTGTATGTTTTATGTGTGCATGTGTATGTTTTAACCATGTATGTTTATGTTTTATGTGTGCATGTGTATGTTTTAACCATGTATGTGTATGTTTTATGTGTGCATGTGTATGTTTTAACCATATATGTGTATGTTTTATGCATGTATGTGTATGTTTTATGTGTGCATGTGTATGTTTTAAGCATGTATGTGTATGTTTTATGCATGCATATGTATGTTTTATATGTGCATGTGCATGTTTTAAGCATGTATGTGTATGTTTTATGCATGCATATGTATGTTTTATGTGTGCATGTGTGTTTTTTGCATGTATGTGTATGTTTTATGCATGCATATGTATGTTTTATGTGTTCATGTGTATGTTTTAACCATGTATGTGTATGTTTTATGCATGTATGTGTATGTTTTATGTGTGCATGTGTATATACTTAGTTCCAGAGTAATGTATAAGAGTTATTGCCAGTGTCTGCGCGTGACTATGCACTCGCTCATTGCGGTTTCTTAGGATCCGAACCCTGTACAGTCAGGACAGCAGCGAGATATCCAACTCCACACACAACCTCAGAAGATCCAACACATATAAAGATCCTTGTCGACTCCATGATGTTTGGACATTTCCCGCCATTTCAGTGATCAGTACCGGGGCGCTGGGACCTGGAGACTCAAGCCACTTGATGAGCACCCTCTCCCACCCCCGCCCCCTCTTTCCCCCCTTTGTTCCCGCCCACTAAAGCGGCACCCACAAATACGAGGGAGAGAAACAGTTATTGCACGAACAAACCAACAGATACAGTTCTTGTACATACAAACGGAGAGAACAGTTGTTGCACCAACAAACGAAGAGATGCAGTTCTTGTACATTCAAACGGAGAGAGAGTTGTTGCACGAAAAAACGAACAGAGACAGTTATTGTACATACAAACAGAGAAAGACAGTTAATGCACGTACAAACGAATAGAGACAGTTGTTGTACATACAAACAGAGAGAGACGGTTAATGCACGAACAAACGAACAGAGACAGTTGTTGTACATACAAACAGAGAGAGACAGTTAATGCACGTACAAACCAACAGAGACAGTCGTTGTACATGCAAACGGAGAGAGACAGTTGTTGTACATATGTGACGAGCTGGTCTGGACAGCTGTTTCTGTCCTCTTAAAAAGTGCTTTGTTTAGATAATATTATNTCACTAACCACGTTTATGATCTAGTATGTACATGTATGCAAACATATTATCGATTTGATGATTGAATTAATGTTTATTTGCTACTAGAAAGGTGCATTGGTATTTTCAATTATTATACTTATATTAATTAAGTGATAATTATGTCCTCATGTGAAATCTCGGCCAGTTCCGGTTTCCAGCATGGTGGGACAATTAAAAAGGAATGAAGTGTATATTTATTATACCTAATCCCTTCTAAGTTGATTTTACCTCATGGTGATATTAGCTTAATAAATCACTGTCTTGCTTTAATTTAGAGTTAGTCCAGATAATTCTGAGACTAGTTTAAGAGCTTGGAAAGTGAATAACACAGTGAGGCTGAATTTAATATTCACACTGTCAGAGAAGAAGAAGCAGAAAAGAGATGTATGGCCCCTGCTTGTAATTATTATTGTTGTAGATATATTTCCCTATTACTAGGAATACATTTCAGTTTTACAGCAGCTGGCCTTACAAATGTAATAATTATATTTCACCCCTCACCACTTCTAAACTCTGCTGAATAAGATTAGCACATGTGTGGATTTAGATTTAAACTGGAGTGAGTGTTGTATATTTTATGTTAATACTGTGACAGATGGAAAGCCCATTGTCATCTATGATTGTATTTTGACATCTATCTCATCACCCAGTATATTGATAGAGATATGTCAATCCCATTTGTTTTCAAACAGTGCAAAGCACCTGTTATGAGTTCCTGGTCTTGGTAAACTCACTCCCTGTTTCTCATTCATTGTGATGTGAACCCATGTGGTTAAAATGAGAATATTGTGAAATATGACTGTGTATGTCTGTGTGTGTAAGCATGTTAACCCTTTAAAGGAGTACTAGTGTGCAGACAGCAGAACAATTTACACTGAGGAATGTCCTTTCTTTTTGTGTGATGTAAACTCTTGTTCTTGTGAGTATTCATGAAACTGGTTTCCTAAATATTTCCCCATCAGGATTATGGACCATGTTCTGTATACATTCCCATTCTATACCAGTAGAATGTGAACACCTGTTACTATCCTACTCCATATATATGTGTGTAGTGTAACAGTTTAAAGACTGGAGGTATTGTTGTCTCCAGTTAGAACCTTCCTGACTGTTTGTATAAGGACTGTTCTATTGTTCTAGTTCCAGATTGTATTCCAGATGGTAGTCCAGAAGTAGATCCTAAGCTTAGCTGCAGATACCCGATTGTCCGGACTGGACTGGAAGATTCGGCCTGCCTGATGTGTTTCCGAAGCTTAGTCAGAAGCTGACAACATACACCTAAGCATTAGCTAAGTGGACAGTTGACCACTTACCTTATATAACAGGATAATTTTAACCACAGCATTTTATTTAGTTATCATTTGAATTTTCAAAATAAATGTAGTTTTAATGTTCTTACAGTTTTCTGAAGTTTCATTGTAACTGTACGTGTGTCAGTGAACAAAAGCTAGTGTAATTTAAATACATTTAAATATACAATTAATTACAGCAGGGAATAAGATGTGGGCAAACCCCAAATCCTCTAATTTAACCAGCAAGGCTGGGGGTAATAAAAACCCCTATTAAGATTTACTGTTTGTTGTTCCCTATGTTAAGTGCACATAGTGCATTCGCTAGTTAAAGCGAAGTTACCCACCACAACATACAAACAGAGAGAGACAGTTGTTGTACATACAAACAGAGAGAGACAGTTAATGCACGTACAAACGAACAGAGACAGTTGTTGTACATACAAACGGAGAGAGACAGTTGTTGTACATACAAACAGAGGGAGACAGTTAATGCATGTACAAACGAACAGAGACAGTTGTTGTACATACAAACCAACAGAGACTGTTGTTGTACATACAAACAGAGAGAGAGACAGTTAATGCACGTACAAACGAACAGAGACGGTTGTTGTACATACAAACGGAGAGAGACAGTTGTACATACAAACGGAGAGAGACCGTTAATGCACGTACAAACGAACACATACAGTTGTTGTACATACAAACAGAGAGAGACAGTTCTTGTACATACAAACGGAGAGAGACAGTTAATGCACGTACAAACGAACAGAGACAGTTGTTGTACATACAAACAGAGAGAGACAGTTGTTGTACATACAAACAGAGAGAGAGACAGTTGTTTTACATAAAAACGGAGAGAGACAGTTAATGCACGTACAAACGAACAGAGACAGTTGTTGTTGTACATACAAACGGAGAGAGACAGTTGTTGCACGAACAAACGAACAGAGACGGTTCTTGTACATACAAACGGAGAGAGAGTTGTTGCACGTACACACGAACAGAGACAGTTGTACATTGAAACGGAGAGAGACAGTTGTTGCACGAACAAACGGAGAGAGACAGTTGTTGTACATACAAACGGAGAGAGACAGTTGTTGCACGAACAAACGAACAGAGACAGTTCTTGTACGTACAAACGGAGACAGACAGTTGTTGCACGTACAAACGGAGAGATATCAGCAACAGTTCCTGCGAGCACTGAACGAACTCAGAAACAGGTCAGCCGTCTTCGAATAAGCCGCTGGCATCATGTGGAAGGTCACCAGTCACCGCAGCCCGCACTTGCACTTGTCTTATTG